GGGCGGCGCCAATGCCGTTTGCGCAGCAGGACGTGTTGCCTTCAAGCCTGATCCAGGAAGATGCTTTCATGAACTCATGGAACATGCCATATGTCGCACCTGCTATGCCGCCATACATCCCGGTCAATGCCGCTTGCCTCATTCGGTTCGAACACCCCAGCTGTGCCCATGCTAGCCAATGCAGCAATGCTCATGCCTTCCAGCCGCAGCCTGTGATGACTGCGATGCCAACGCAGGAGCGTGAGACGCATGCGCCGACATGGTTCGCTCAGATTCCTTATTCACCACAACCGCCTAGCACAATGCCGACTGAACCGGCAGTGTCCTCGGCCTCCGCTGCCCCAGCTGAGGTGGACCATGCAAACGTGTTCACACAGATCCATCAGCAAGCGTCTTCCCGTCCCCCACGATGGCTACGGCTGCTCTGCGCTAGAGAGCAGCCGTAGCCATCGCGGGGGACGGGAAGACTCAGAGCAGTCGACAAGGGTGTACACGAACACACGCACCATTTGCCTCAATGCCTTCGATCGGGGAGAAAGCATGTCGAGAGCCTCATGCGTGCAATCATGTGTTCCATGCCCTGTGTTTCTCCGAACTTGTCCAGCACTCACTATCTGAGCAAGCGGAAGCACAATGTCCCAACTGCCGTCAGCCAGAACGTTTGGACCTATAGCAACGCCCACTGCACCTGCCTCCACTACCACGACGAGGAGATGGGAGAAGCAGCACCTCGTGAGGAAGAGCTTCCAGTGCCGGAGCAGCCTACGCCTGCCAGCTCACTGGCCGCAGCCGTTCGCACACCGGTACTCACAGACGATGAGTGGGAAGAAGCTCAGGAACAGCCGTTCCAAAGCCCAGAGAGTGCACGTGACCAATCCTTTGCCTGGTGGCCAGTGCCTTCGCACCGCAGCACTCGCGGTCGACAGGAAGACAGCAGTGATGTTGACAACTCTGTCTACCACGCCACAAACATCGGCAAAGACCGCATGGGTCTGCTGATAGATCCCGGCTCGTATGGCAACCTGGTCGGGGACGACTGGGTAGATGCCGCAAAACGCATGCTTGCCCCACATGGCCAAGAGATCATGCTCGTTCGCCGCGAACGCCAGTTGCGAGTGGGAGGCGTAGGAAAGGGTCATCAAACACGCCATCGCGATGTTGTGATTCCCATAGCCATCAAGCGAGCCGACGGCTCCATGCAGTCAGGCAGTTTTCAGGCACATGGTGTACAGGTCTGGTGCACCAGCACTCCTCGGACTGAAAACGTCTGAAAACACTCAAGCGCCATAACGCAGTCCTCGACTGTGGACGCAACCTTTTCCAACTCATCCCAATGGCAAGGAGATTGAGTACAAGCTGCCGCAGGGAGCCGAGACCTTTCTTCTCGAGCAAAGCCCAAGCGGCCACTTGATCTTGCCCATCACCGACTTCCAGGCCTTGAAGGAAACCCGATTCCTTCGCATCAACCCTGAATTGTTGCACTGTTCGCTGAGGACGAGGCAAAGCCATCCGCTCCTTCACAGCCTGAAGGCACTGCGCCACAGGATTGTGAAGAGATTCAAGCGCGATTATTGCGGAGGAGCCCCGTGAGGATACCAGCTCAGCGGCAAGACGAGGAGCTGGAGTCGAGTATGGGCCTGCGCCACCACGCCGGGAAGCGCCTGAGGCAGTGCGTGAAGTGTATCAGTGTATGAGGAGGTGACGCTGGAAGAAGATCCCGAAAGTCAATCGCCTGCACCATCCGCCACAGCACCAGCGAAGGCCAAAGCCGCTGCAGCCACGCCGCGTGCGAGAACACCGCCAACAACACGACATCCCACAACGGCATCGACGGCATCCAAGTCAGCGCCTGAAGCCAAGGCAAAGGCAGCTGCTGAATAAGCCGATCGGGCCCTTGCATCAGACCCGCATGTTCGCACTTTTGTCCTCACTCCTGCCGGAGCAGCTGAGGCCGCCAAGGCCAGGGCAAAAGCCAGATCACCAGGACCTGGAGGCAAGCAAGGCAGCAGGTCAAAAGGCAAGGGCAAAGGTAAGGGCAAGCAGCGTGGCAAGGGAAAGAGCGGTGATCGGGCACGGTTCCGACCTCGTATGGTGGTTGCTGCACCACCTCGCCCACCAGTGCCAAAGCGGCGCCGCCGCAACCTCCTCCACCTCGTCGCCGTAGCCGCGATGAAGATGGCATCGGCGAGGGCGAGCCCCGGGCCCGCCGGCAGCGGATCGTCGCCACCGAGGACGAGGAAGAGTGAATAAACGAGGATGAAGAAGACCCCACTTCATTCTTGGCAACAGATGGGGTCGCGTTGCATTGCGTGGTAATCTCCTGCCACAGCAGCAGTGCACGAGCCTTCGAAAGCCTTGACATGTACGTCAGACTGGGGCCACTTGAACTCCTACGAGGCTTGGAATTCGATAGGCTCTTAGAAGATGTCAAACTATCTAGATATCAGTATGGACTGATCTTCAGGTGCCACAAACCCTCTTCTTGCAAGCTCGCCCGAGCTCCTAAAGCCTTTCGTAGATAAGGTATGCGCAGGCCAGCGCGCACATGCCGTGCTGACCGGGCAGGCCGCCAAGCAAGCGCAAAAGTGGCCACACGAAATGTGTTCACGCCTTGCCTGTGGCATAGAGCGCCTAGTGGTCTCCGAGCTCAAGCATCTTCGTGAAAGCGACTTTGAGCTCAAATGCCCAACACTAGCCACAGGCACGTCCGATGGAGCAGATGGGCCAGCTTCCGAGGACACACTGGCGAACATGCAAAGGCTGCTTGTGGCGCCTACACAAGCAAGACGCCAGACACTCACGAGTTCCCGGTGAGTGCAAACACTCAGAGATCGAGTCAGTCGCCTACGACTGCGACGGCTGCAAAAATGGACGCCCAAGGTCTTCAAACACCCACACATTCGGAGCTGACTGCAGGCACGCCATCACCTCATCACGCGCCGGCGTGAGGCGAAAACCATATGCACGTGTCCGTGCTGAGGAAGAGCCGACAGGTCAGCTCAAGGCTTCAGACCTGGGCCGTCGATGAGGCCAAGGCAGAGGAATCCAGCTGAAGCTGCGCCAGCAGCACCTCGCCCCGCAGAAGGCGAAAGCAGTTCGTCCAGCTCACGTCCTCCCGATCCTCCTGCAGCCGCAGAGGATGGACAGCCAGCTGAAGGTCTCGAACTTGAGCCCGCCGAACGCAGAGGCCGCGGACCAGACACTGTGGCCAGAGTCCGCCGGACCTATCGCGAGGGCGAAGCACAGACTTCAAACCCGGCAGGAGGGCCGCCGGCTGCCCGAGGAGGCTGGGAAGCTTTCGGCCACTTTCCGCGATGGAACAAAGCTATGTGGCCCATGGCAGCATCGACGCTGTGATCGGCAGCGTGAAGCTCGGTGCCCGAATGGTGAGCATCGTTGCGCCCACAAGTCGAAGAGCGGGCGCATTTGCGGTGATCCATATCACCAGGGCAGCAGGTGCAACAACAAGCAGAAGCTCTGAGAGGGGGAGAGTATAGTTTCACATCCGGAAAATCCGGAGCGTTCCAGCACCTCAGGCGCTTTGGAAGAATTCCATCAGCATGTCGCCGCTATCCAGAATGGATGGGCTCAGGTTGAGACAATGGATGATGACCTCAGGTCCCTGTCTTTTTGGATTTGCGGTCCGGACCGCATTTCCCGCTTGCGCAGGCGTTTGAGTGGGCTGGTTGGAAAATTGTTCAGCCAATCGACATTCTTATCGACTGTGAATTTGATTTAGTCAAGCCTCCTGTACAGAAGGCCATCAATGCCATTTTGCCTCAGTGCCACCTTGTGAGTGCCGCCATCGATTGTTCTACCAAGAGTCGAATTCAAGAGATCAAACGGCCAGGAACGAACGCTCCAAAGCCTCTGAGGACAGAGAAGTTTGCTCGAGGACTACCCACCTTGACAGGCGCTAGCAAGGACCGGGTAGAGAAGGACAACAGGGTCAGTGACTATTTGTTGGCAATCCAACATGTGACCAACCTGCATGGGAGCTTTTAGGGAGAACCCCAGGAGGAGTCTTCACTGGGTCGACCCGGTGGAAGTCCACATGCACACAGATGGAGGTTGGTCCGACTTTTGTTACGACAATTGTTGTTTCCTGGCAGCCAGGAAGAAAGCACAGACCATTCGTCACAATATTCCTGAGCTGAGGTCGCTACCCAATTTGGTGTGCGCCCACATGCACAATGAAGATGATTTGCGGCCATACAGTTTAGACGGAAGGACCAAATATGCTAGCACTGAAGAGGCTGAGTATCCTGCTGCCCTTGTTTTCACCCTAGCTGTTGCATGTACATTTTGGGCAGCCAGCCAAGGCTATGCAATCATCAGGATTCCCCGCTTACCCCCACTTCAATGTTCAGGTGATCGCAGGTGTTGGACAGCCTGGGAAGCTTCCACCTTTCGGCAAGATGCCATGGTCCCGATGGCTATATCGTTAGGTCTCAAACCATCTAGTGCCCCGGGTTTGCCCGTGCGAGGCCACGTTGCAGATTACTTCGATCAGGGCACTGGGCTCCAAGTAGGAGTCGTGTACGCAGGACACGGGCATTTTCGTCACAGGCTTAGCCCTACGAAGTGGGAGAACCCATTTGTTGTAGGGCGAGATGGGACTCACGTTGACACTGTTTTCAAGTATATCATGGGCTGGGACAGGATGCAGCTTGATGGAGCCCTCGACGAGCTCACCAGCAAAATCATAGTTTGTGATTGCCCAACCAACTCGTTCTGTCACGTGGATGTCATTATAGCTAAGTGGTTTGATCGATCGCATCGGCCACGTCGGTCTCGCAGAGCCGCAAGTCCCCCCTCTAGAGCCATCATGCTGGCAGGGATCCGGCTTGTCCGTGCAGTTCCCCAAGCTTTCAGTCAGACAGCTGCTATGGCAGCGATCAAGAGTCAGTTTCCCATGTTGGATTTCCAAGGTGTTAAGTGGCCTTTGTTGGAAGATCTGATGAATTGCCCAGCTTTCCTTTCATTCCATCGGTGGGCCCATGAAGGGTAGCTATGCAGCCGATGGCCCCATTGGCCCCACCATGCTCCCCACTGCGGGTGTGGTTGCCTTCCGAACAGGCATGGCCGAGCAAGCAGGGGCTGGGGCCAGGCGGACAGCAGCTCCGCCAGTCGTTCCATTCAATTTGACACCCAAGAAGGAGCACTTTGCGGCAGCACTGCAAGTACAAGTTGACGGAGGGCCACTGGACTTCCCTTCGCCAGTGGACGTTGACATTGCTTATGTCGCCAATCTGATGGCTGACCTTGGTCAAGGAGTGGTCAGTTTTCGGCAGGAAGCCCTGGATTGTTTTCTGGGTATTTGTGCTCGTTTGGAAGGTGTCACACAGTACATCCGCAGCCGCCAGCCTCCAGTTCTGGCAGCAGTGAATCCCAAAGTGCATCTCGCCGTCATCGCGCTCCTCATTGCCATGATGCAGTGGCCAGACACTTCATTTTGCTCCGGGCTACATAGCGGATATCCAGCAGTCGGCTACCTTCCACCCTGTGGCATTTGGGCATCGCAAGTTGCTGAGTTCGCATCATTGCATGATGTGTTGCAGGAGGGACCTGCGGAGGCACCAGCTCTCATTGCTGGGCTGTCCGACAAGGGGCTGGAGGTGGTCCATGAAGCTGGGCTGAGCGCAATCATTGGTGTACCAAGGAGTTCGGCTGGGAGGAGTTGCAGCGGCTGCTACGTCGTTTTGTGATCACCCAAGCTTCTGGCAAGAAGAGAGTCATTGATGATGCGGCCAGCGGAGGACAGAGCTTCTGGAGCCGCGACGCCAATCGGCTCCAATTCTGCAGCGCATTGCAGCCTTGTGCACACATCCAAGCCCTAGCGCAAGCTTGTGCATACCAAGGCATGGAGAGGTTACCGCTTCCAGTGGTATCGTGTGGAGAGGACCTCCCGGATGCTTACCGTAAGATTCCCATGTTAGAGGACCATAGCTGTGCATGCATAGTAGTGTACCAATCAGCCCAAGGTAGACCGGCCTTCCGGCAGTACCATTCGATGCTCTTCGGATTACCCCTCGCTGTCACAGCCTTTAATCGGCCGCCGTTCTTTTGCCAAGCCGTGTTGCGGCGGATGCTATATAGGACTTATGGCCAGCTTCTACTACGATGATTGTACACTGCAGGACTGGGAGCCCACAGCCACGCATGCCCAAAGTGTGATGGGCCAGGTGTTGGAATGTCTAGGTTTCCCCTGTGCAGCGGACAAGAGACAATCCCCCTCTTTCGAAGGAGACTTTCTAGGCATGATCCACGATTTGTCAGCAGCTCACTTGGTTGGCAAAATCCAGCTTTGGATTCGACCTAGGTTGCAAGATAAGATACAAGACTTCATTCGGACTGCCCGCCGTGACCGCCTGCTCCACCCAGGTACCGCGGCCAAGCTATTCGGATGTGTGACCTTCTTAGACCAAGCTGCCTTTGGCAAGGTAGCCCGTGCAGGGCTGAATGCCATCAAAGATCGACAGCATGTCGACACGTCAGTTGAGCTGACAACCCACCTCGAAGTCGCCTTTGATGTTATCGAGACCGTTTTGTCCTTGCGACCCCGGAGGACAGTCTCCCTTGTTTCCTGCCTCGAGCCGCGCATGATTGCAGCCTCCGATGCAGCCCATGAAAGGGGCAAAGGGTCAGGTGGGTTCTTGTTCAGTGATGCTTTCTTCTGTCGGAGAGGAGCAGTAGTTGAGATTGATGCTAAAGTGTTCCAGTTGTGGCAAGCTAAGGAACTTGTCATCGCGCAATTAGAACTTCTGATGGTGTTTCAAGCCTTGATCTGTTTTCCAGACTCCTTTCGACGCAACACATGTGTTTGGTGGATAGACAACATCGCCTCATTGATGTCGTTGGTGAGAGGCCGATCAGATTCGCCAGATCTCGACAGACTGGCTCAGATGATCCACATGTTGTTGTTTAACCTCCATTGTAATATGTGGTTCGAATGGGTCCAATCAAAATCCAATTGGACTGACGGGATATCAAGAGAGGGCTTCGCAGATCCGTTCATTCGCGAATTCAGTTTCACTTGTCATCAAGTTGCAGTTCCGCATTCGCTTTGGCAGCTTCCGCTCCTCCCCCTAAGTATAGTCTTCAGCTTTCTTTAAGTGCATTGGGGAATAGTGCCTTGGGTGCACACGTGAAACGTGAGGAAGATCCTACACCTGAGAATCAGGTCCATGCTAATGCGTGGATACCAATGCAATTGGCAGAAAGCCTTTGACTGGAGTCAGGCGAAAGGAAAAAGGGAGTGTGGTGCAAGCCATTGCCCGAATGAAATAAAGTTCATTAGCGCCATAAGGCCAGTGCCAGTACCCACAAATACTCTCCAAGATGGAACTGCTCATGACAGTGGCTTACGGTCTCCTCACAAGACCGGACGCAGCAGTGTATGTCACAGCACTTCAACGAGAGAGTCATAAAGCCAAAGCAGTGCATGTCAAAAGACTGAACACGCTCGTCGTTGGATGCAACAGCACCCCAGAGCGCTGACATACGCACCAATGGCTGAATACCCAACACAACTGGTCGTATTCTCGGACTCAGGCTTCCAGGCCAAGAGTACCAGTGATGGCTTAAGCGTGCGAGGCATGATCAGCTTGAGAATGACCGCAACTCAAGCCAAGCGCCTGGTTGAAGGAGGACCTCAACCAGAGAAGCTCCAGCGCCGCATGCTGGAATACGCTCCCAAGGCCCAACGGCACGCGACGCGATCAACATTCGCAAGTGAGCTGTTTGCCTGCACCGATGCCATAGACCAAGCTGTGCTCACACGGCTGTCTCTCGAAGAACTTTTCAAAGGAAGCCTCTCAGAAGCAGAAGCAAGAGAGATCTTGAATGGTGAGAGGCAGTCAAGAATAGGACTCCTCGTGATGTGACGCCTTGTCAGTCAGCAAGTCGGCGTGCGCGCCTGTCTTGAAGACACCTGCGGAGTGTAGCCTCTTGGTCCACTTAAAGTGGCTGAGACAGCAGCTCCTCCGCCAGATCTTGAGACTTTTCTGGTGCGACGCCAGAGACATGGCAGCAGATGGCCTGACCAAAGGCTCGGTGTCCCGAGACCTTCTCGCGCTCTTGATGCAGGGTTTCCTGATCTCCCTGCGCGCAGAAGCCGGAGTAGGTAGGACCACCCGAGTCCTTTGGCCACAAAGAGCCAAGCCGACTCGATGTACATATCCACCGCAGCATGGTTGACCAGGCGTGAAGTAAAAAGGCCTGTAGGACCGCTGAGTAGGTTTCTGTTCGTAGCCCCTAGTTTTGTGTCCGGTGTTTTTTGGGCCAACTCACTTGGTAAGAGTCTATGATGCTTATCCTTCTGTCTCATTGTTGGATGCAGAAAGTATGTGGATCTGCCAGAACTTGTACACACAACGAAAGCTGGCAGCTGCTATGATTGCCAATATGTTCAGAAAGGTTCCCGGGTTTACAAATTATGCCGAGTCGAATGCCTTAAAAGGCTTTGACATTCTTTGACAGAAGGGCACAGTCTCATAGAGGCTAACTGGCTAATCCTTACAACAACCAGTGGCTTGGATTGCGCTGCTACAGAAAAGAAGAGCAGCAACTGCGGCCTTACAAAATGAGTTCTGGTCCCTAACAAAGTGAGTTGTATCTGGGGGCCTCCCAAACTGATCAAGTCTGATGCACCAACATTGGAAGACCTTCATTTCTTACAAAACGAAGGGCGCAGCAATCTCAATGCTTGACTCTACATTTTCTATAGATTGATGGGGCCAGTGGCCCAAAAATGCTTGTTGGCCCTGTCATTTTGTATCCCTGACATTTGGATGCACCTATGTATTTTGTAAGAAGTCTTGCTGCGTCCCCAGGTTTATATTTATAAAAAGTGGGGGTCTGACCCCCCACCCCTAATTTTAACGTCGATCCCCTGGCTATTTTTGCGAGAGGCTTAGGTTGGGATTGGGCCAAGTCATCCTGTGTTTTGCAAAGAAACTTCTGAAATCTTTTAAAATAGATTGACACGCCGAGAAGCTTTCCCCAATTTTTCCCGGGAGTGTTGCGAAGGGTTCTTTGAATTACAGATTTGGATGAATTAGCGGCCTAAAAAGCGGCATTTGTAGGTAGGTATGTTACAAGTACATCTGCAGCTTGTAGGTGTTCTGGAGCTGCTGCTACGGAGGTGGTGATACACTTGAGACATATGCGTATTCCCTCCTGCCAAGCAGTTGTTTGACGAGAGTGAACTTTTAACGCAATTTGCCGCGGTCTTGTTCTGAAGCCCCCTTTTTAGCTGGAGGGTAGTGCGTTCATGGAAGCGCATCTTCTGGCTGTCGGTGTTGGTGGAGTCTCGGTTACTGCCAGTGTGGCTGCAGCTTGCCAGAGGGTCGACAAGACGATCTTGATTTTGGTGGCATTGAACCTAGTGCTTGTCTTGAGGGTCACCGTCAAGCAGAACGATCGAGGTGAGCACGAGGTCACGCTGTCGGTCAAAGGTAAATCAGGAAAGGGTTGGTACGGAGCTCCACGCGGACTTCAGATACTTGACCAATGAGCATTGTTTTGTCGAGTGCAATGGATATCCTGGAGTTTTCCATACCTGTTTAGCCACTGCCCACATAAAGAACGACGAATGGATGATAGCCACCCCGGGTATGGACCTGTACCCGGAGGTGCTCAATGCCGGAATCGGGGACTATTCACAGTTCTTTCACAGTTCAACTGGAGCTATTCTCAACCAATGATGGCGCAGGATTATGCCAGGATCATGTCTCAGGGACAACGGGCTGCAGAGGCGGAGGAGCTGAGACCAGGACTTGGGCCGCCGCCTCCTTGCAGTTGGCGCCTGCCACTGGGGGCAGGTCCGGCCGCTGGCGTAGTCGACTATGGTGAGGATGTTGAAGTATGGGTTCTAGTTGAACAGGTTGATGGACACACAGTTGGGGAGGAGCTCACCCTTCCAGCAGGCTCCCCAAGAGGGAAACCATGCTCTGGTGCACGTGTTGAGCAAAGAAGGCAAGGACTTTGTTGTGAGGGCACAGAAATGCAAGCGCTGACATTGGGGAGTTGCGCGAACAGGTCATTCAGGCCGCCAGATCCACGGAGGTCAAGCTGGGCGACGACCCCTTGGTCAGTGACGATGTGCGTACGCTCTCCATCAAGTACGGGCCAAATGGTGAGAGGTGTCGAACATTTCGAGAGTCAATACAGGAGATGAGGCAAGTTGAGAGGGAAGAGTTCCCTTTGTCGCCAAGGACTTGCCTTGAATACCTTCGAGCAGTGGCAGAGATCTCAGAGTTGCTACGGGCAGCACCTCTCATGGGTGCAGAACGCCCGTATCCCTGAAGGGGACAGAGCTGTCTTTGAAGACAAAGTGCTGAGCAAGGTATTAGACGCAGCAGTCAAAATCGACGGGCTCAATTTTTGCAACAGCCTGGCATTTGAGATGATCGTTCGAAGAAAACAATTGCTGTGTGAGGCCCACGTGGGGAACCCTGGTCAGCCTAGCTACGAAGCCTCGGATTATTTCATGGGTGTGATACAGGCCGGGAGGAGAAATAGTTATCCCCAGCCTCACCGAGCACGGAGGGGGCGCCCCGACGTCCTTGCAGGAGGGGGCGTCCAGAGGGGTTCATTATCCTGCGGAGGAGCTTTTCTGAGGGCAGTTGTCATTTGGTGAGCTCTGGAATTTTGTGCACATGCAAGCAGTGGAGAGGCAGAGAGACGTGCTGCTCCCACTTTTGCTAGAAGGAGGAGGAGGAGGTGGTCCATTGAGGATCACTGAGGCGAAGCGTGAAGAGGAGAGTAGAGCGACGTCGTCACGTTGGAGCTGAGGTACAGGAGGGCCTCGCCTAGGGGTGCAAGCCACACAGGAGCCCTACAGGCGCTTCGTGTAGCCAGCAGTCCTTATGGGGGCGATATGACTGGTGTCAGCGATGTTGTGAACATGGACACTGAGAAGATGTCCTTGCCCGAGATGGGCAGCAGAGGAGTGAAAGTTGAGCAAGTTTTGCAGGAAAAATGCTCAGAGATCCGGAGAATATGATGCTTCAAGACGCAAACAACTGGTCGTGGCTTTGTGAGGAAGCCCAATCGATCAGGGCCTACAATGACCCAGCGCTCCGTGACAAACAGTTCTTTCTGCGGTTCTTGGGAGGGCTTCAAATGGCCGGGGTGCTGGACTTCACAACTACAGTGCGGGGGAGAGTTGGTAGTTTTTGCGTTAGCAAGAAGCCGAAAGAAGTGGACGGCAGGATGATTGAGCGACAGAGGCTCATCCTTGACTGCCGACAGGTTAACCTTTCTTTCCGAGCTCCACCTGTGACAGAATTGGGTTCCCTACCAGCGGTAGACATTGAGATTCCTGACAATGAGACCCTATTTGTTTCGGGGGGCGGCATCAAGGATTGTTTTTACGCCTGTCGACTGCCGGAGCCTTTCTTGGGACTTGACAGTTGCAGAAGCAGTAGAGTTGTTGATGGGCGATTCATATGATGAGCGGTTTGACAGCTTTGCGCCACACTCAACTATCAGCCCCACATCTCTACGTTCCCCATGAGGTTTAGCTGGAGCAGCTGGAGTTTTTACTTGGTTCAGGCTCTACATGTACAAGCGTGCATTCAGAGCAGTCCAGCGACAGCGCAAAGCATTGTTTTGGATGCGAGGCCAGCCCCACACCTCAGCAGGCGAGAGATTGTTTCCACGCCGTATTGTGACAGCACACATGCACTGTCTCTGGATCCCGTGACAGCGGAAGAAGGGAAGGTAGCATTGGCAAAGACCTTGGAGGATTGGGTGTTCACACTTCATGAAGAGATGAGTGCAACCAGTTGCTTTCCAACGTTGGGAGTAATCATTGATGGGAAAACAGGTGTCGTTAAGCCTAGAGAGCATCGTTTTCGGAACCTCAGGCTTGCTTTTGACTGTGCTTGCAAACGCCCTGTATCTTCGGATTTGGTACAGAGATTGTGAGGCCATGCGACGGTGGTGCTTGTCTTGAACCAAGCAGGTATCAGCGTCTTCCGGAGCCTCTACGATTTTGCCGGTCGGGGTTTTAAAAGCGTAAGATGCTCTGGGAAGGGGCAGTTCGGGAGTGCAAGATTTTTTCCGGAATCCTCCCCCTCTTGGTCTCTGATACGCGCGTCCCATGAGCAGTACAGTGACCTGCACAGACGCTTCACCTAGTGGTTTTGGCATTTGTGAGCGGACAATGGACGTTGAGGCAATCAGAACAGTTGGACAATGGCATGAGCATTGGAGGTTTAAGCGATCAGGTTTGAAGGATTGAAAACCACGTGAAAGAGCCTTGGGACTAGACCCTTTCAAGGACCCTAGAACCGCTCGTCTTGACCCATTTGTTCTGATGAATATGTTAGGAACGAGGAGTCCGAGGAGGTCCCAGTTGAATTGTTGGACCCCTTGGATTGGAAGGTGGTTTTAAATGGGCAGTGGAAGTTCAAAGATGAGCACATCACATTGAAGGAGGGACGCTGTTTGACCCTTGCAGTTAGGAGAATGAGCCGCAGCCCGGAACATCGTGGGAAGACGCATCTCATTTTTGTCGACAACTTGGCTCGTGCTTTTAGCTTGGGTAAAGGGCGCTCTTGCAACCATGGGATGTTGCGATTGAATCAGAAGATAGGCGCCCTGCTATTGGCCTGCAACAGTGTTCTGAGGGTCAGGTGGATCCCCTCGGAGTGCAAGTTTCGGACCGTATGTTTTTGCGCCGCGGGAAGGACAGGAGCATTCAGCTTTCGAGGCCAAGAGCCAGCAGCGCATGAAATCCTCAACTTCACCTACGGCAAAGGTAGGTGCTGGATCCAAAGCTGGCTGCGAAGAGAAGCTCGAGTTGGGCAGGCCATCAATGGGAGGAAGATTCTGCTTATGTGTTTAGAGGAAAGGTTGAACAAACAGCGGAGCACGCCACTGTGGAGGAGTTGGAGGAATGCAGGTCAGGCCTCAGATTTCATCAAAGCCTTGGAGGCCATCCAGCGGATTGAAGAATGGCGCGCAAGATCACAAGCTTTGCCGGAGGAAAGGGGGACTGAACCCCACCAAACATGGCCCGCCAGGAAAAACGGCTCTACCTCCAGGAGACCGCAAGCGCATGAAGCCAACCGTTTCAGCCCTTTCCTTCGCATGGACAGAGGCCATCCAGAGCCTATCGTTCCCATCCATTTCTTGAAGGCAGCTGATGACTCCACCAAAGGCATCTCCAGCGGCGCCACCTGATCCTAGTGCTTGACTGCCAACTACGCCGCTGAGTTGCTCACTCCAGCGACCTCACCGAGGATCCGGTTCGAGAGTCGCAGAACATGTATGTGGAGTCAGCCTAGTCCAAGGAGTAGATTGCGCGATTGGTTGAAATTGAAACGACAATCAAAGAAGTTGACTCAGCCTCAGATCAAAGTGGTGCGTCAGTGATGTGGATGGTAACACGCAGATCCTCACCTACCCTGAAGAGGGCAAGGGGGAGACCACTGAGGAGATCAAGATGGGAACTATGGAGGGGAAGGAAGAGGCTATAGTGGGAGCTTCGCCCGCTTAGCGGCGTCCTCGGAATCTATGCCTTTATACTCCAAACAATGCCACAGGCTCCTTCAAAGCGTACGGCCAAAGTGCTGCCGGTGCCTGTGAAGGCCGCGGCTATCGCTGCTGAACTTGTTCCCATCATCCCTTTTTACGATGAAATTTAGTTGGATGGGAACCTGGACGGGCAGCAGCGAAATTGTATGGAATCCATCTACACACGAGCATGGGAACGCCAGCGCATCTTGTGGAAGGGCTTGCTATCCTATATCAAGGCTCAGCGCGAGAAGCGCTGGCTGCCCAGGGACGCGTTTGGTACCTGATCAAGATTCACAACACCGCACGCCAAGGGTTCGCTTGTTGGATCCCAAGCGGTCGGCGGAGGAGCGCTTCGACCCATATATGCATATGAACGCATGGCTCAGCGTCCTTTGTGTGGAAAAGACGGTGACGGTGTTCACGGCGAACCGGAGAGCTGAGTCCGGTCAACGCCTTGCCGAAGAGTGGGTCGGAAATACAATGTTTTTTGTCGGATGCTCAAACGCGAGGTGAGATGTGAATTCTGGCTGGGCCTTTGTGGGGATCAAGCGTGCCGGATGCTCAAACGGGCCGGCCGGATGACCTTTGCGCTCTGAGGGGGCTATGGGGGCATCTGATGAAGTTCCTATGAAGAAGGAGCCTCTCAAAAAGATTAATGGCCATTGAACCCAAGGCTGCGTCGAGTTTGTCGCCGGAAGGGGGAGAAAGCCTCTATATGGGTGCACAGAGCCAACCAAAGGGCACGGTCGCTCCGTATGCGCCGCGGGAAGGACAGGCGCATTCCGCGCTTTCGATTTGGCGGCTCTGCGTGAAAGGTCCTTTCTCCATGTGGAGAGGCTTTGTGGAGCAGAAGCCAAACTTTATCCATGATGGCGCTTTGTGACGGAGAAGATGAACTGAAGGGCTTGAGCTGAGGGCTACCGTTTTCATCCGTTTCCTCTTGTGGATGGCGGACGAGTACCACAGTAAATGACTGTGGCAGGGGCGCGTCTGTTTCCATCTAGGATGTACATCTCGAAGACTTGCGCGCTGTGAAACCTTTTATATGCGCGCGCTTTGATTTTTGGACGTGCGGTTTCAGGGCTCGGACCGACCTCGGACACATGTCAGCCTGTTTTTTTGGATGCACCTGCGCCTGCAAAAGGTTTCTTTCGTAGGAAGGGTTGCTCACCAAGATGTCCTTGAACGTCATGACTCCAGTCGCTTGCGCGGCCACATATCTGACAGCGCGCCCCACATCTCGCACATGAACCATGTGCAATGTGTGGCGCATTGGGCGGGCCTTGCCCTGCCGCACGGGCTTATGGGGGGTCGGCTGCATTGGACTACCTTCAAAAGGTGTGCCGAGAGTCCACAGATGCTGCAAGCGCGCCTAGAGGTAACCCTGCTAGTCATCCCGGGTGCCCGGTGTGAAGTACACCGGGGCGATGCCATGCCCCAACCCTTTCGCGCTGCTCACTTGGGTCGTCTATGGACCGGCGTCCGTTCGCCGTACTCAACATACAACATTGCCGAAGAGCGTGTAAGCTAGCCTTGGTTGTCCACCTAGAACCCGTCCCACACCCGTGCCTGTTTTATACCTGTGCCTGGGTCGGCAACGTTGAACGCTTGGAATGTCAGGCCCCTGATGACCCGTACTCTAAGACGCGTAATTTGTTGCAAGTAGCAAGACGCGTAGTTTGCTGCAAGTAGCAGCGCGCAATAGAGCATGGGATGTTTGGTTTTAACACCCCATGGTGATGGTGATAATTCGGGGGGAGCGTTGCGATCGCTTAATGCCATGTCACTTCCCCCGCCAAGTCTCAAGTCTCCTTCGCATGTGGTCGTGGCCCTCATCGGTCTTCAAAGGTGGACACCTGGCATGACGGAGGGGGGGGGTGTCAGGGTACGAACCACGGCGCTGCTAGCTCACCGATGGGCTGGGCCACGTTCTGGCGTTTCCTGTCGCGTTCTCAGCCACCTGTGAAGTTCACAGCCAGTAGTGGGCGCTTGTACCGGGAGCTTTGCGACCGAGCGTGCGCAAAAGCACGGCCACTTGAACTTGCATGCCTACGACCATCATGTGGCTTATGTGCAAGCCGGGGCGCGTGCAAAAGCACTTGCGCGGTTGAGGTGAAGGGCCCGAACTACTACCTATCCATCCATGTCAATTTGTATCAATCTACCTTTGGTTTATTCACTTCGCGTGGGCGACTTGTGACTCTGGCCCTCCGTGTTTTTATGCAGTGGAACACTGGCTCAACATTTTTCCAACAGGATTGTCAGTTGCTAAATCAGGACGTTGACGGGTCAATCCGTCTCAGCCTATTTAGCCATTCCATGAGTTAGTTCATCAGCGTTTTATGAGATTTTATGTCCTTCATTTTGAGATTGGCATTAGAGAGGGGCAGTGGGGCGCAACTGGCAGCCTTGAGGATGCAGAAACTGTCACAGATGAGCTTGGCATGTCAGAGAAGGCCTTCTGGTTTAAGAGTGGTTCGTTCAGGGTGGTTCCAGCACTGTCAATTGCGCGGCAGGATCGCCAAGAAAAAGAAGAATGGCGAGAAAAGAGAAGAAAGGGGCGCGAGGATGCAATCGAAAGGATGAAGATGAAGGTGGAGCGCTTTCTCCTCCTACCCCCCGCATGGTACATGTAGACTCGCCTTGACAGGAACGCGATGCAAAGAAGGAGCCTAGGGGTCTTGCGCTTTAAGATCTTTAAGTGGTTGAACATTTTGATACGGGCGGTCAGTTTTTGCACATTTCCATTGCATGCAGCAGGAAAAAGAACGAAGAGAATTAGAAAAATTCAAGGAAGACAACCCGCAGGCAGCGCAGCCCAAGGTTTCGCGCTTTAAAGTTGCAGATTGCGCCAGCCAGGCCTACGAAGACATGTGCGGTTCTCGGCTGTGAGCCTCGACATGCATCTTACCTAAAACACGGTCAGGTTGGCGCAAAAGAGAGAGGATGAGCGACAAGCAGCCGAACAAAAGAAACGTGAAAGGCTCCTGCAGGCGATCAGATGTTGTGACTAAAGCATAGGGTTTGGGGTTGTGTTTTCGCAAGGTGGAGGTCTGATCATCTAGGACCTAGGAGTTTGTACTTCCATTGGCATTGGGCCAACGGGAACTTACAAGTGTGTGTGTCACCCCCTGATTCTAAGGGTTTCCACTTTCTTACCTTCCACTGTAACAGAGGCATGCACCTTTCACTCGTTTTCACGCAGCAGGGGCGTGTGACACTCTTCTCCTATCACGCGCAACGAAGCTATGGAGAAGAGTGGGAAGGGAAACTTGGCCAGTTTCCTGTACCTGCGACACAACTGTTGATCAAGCCGTTCCACTTTCTGCCTTTTTGTTTTATGGTGTTTCATGATACTTCCCCAAACAGGTTTCTTTCAGCAGCCGACCGCAGCCTTGCACCGCGCCGACCGAGTGACCGATCGTCTCTGACTTGAACAACAATTTTTTGAAACACCTACAAGTTTTCGGACCTTTCACCATGCGGTTCTGTCACCTTCCTTCCCAGCGTGGCAATTGAGTCTAACTGAAAACCAAGTTCGAAGTGTGGACCGCTCAGTCTTCCCACTTGGGTACTGGGTGTGACCCTCCGAAAGGAGGCGCTGAAGCCATGCCGGAAATCATCGTTTCTCCAACTTTATAACTGTTTCCTTTTGATTCACTTTATTCCTGAATTTCCTGATTTTCGAGCCGCCGGGCTATAAACGATGGAATTCCCACCAACAAATTCTGAATTCTCTCCGGTTGTGCATTGTCTTTTCTCTCAACTTTTAACCGCAGCCGTTTGACGAATGCTCAGCTTTCGCAGGCTCCACACCACCGATCTCCCAAATTGCATTACATGCCAAGTTTTCACCGCCTTACTTCACAGCACATTCACTCAGGCTCCAATTTTTTGAGAGAGGAAAAGAATCCGCCTTTCTACCGTTTTGTCTGTGCGCCGATTACGGCGTGTTGTGTGTGTCACCCCCTGATTCTAAGGGTTTCCACTTTCTTACCTTCCACTGTAACAGAGGCATGCACCTTTCACTCGTTTTCATGCAGCAGGGGCGTGTGACACTCTTCTCCTATCACACGCAACGAAGCTATGGAGAAGAGTGGGAAGGGAAACTTGGCCAGTTTCCTGTACCTGCGACACAACTGTTGATCAAGCCGTTCCACTTTCTGCCTTTTTGTTTTATGGTGTTTCATGATACTTCCCCAAACAGGTTTCTTTCAGCAGCCGACCGCAGCCTTGCACCGCGCCGACCGAGTGACCGATCGTCTCTGACTTGAACAACAATTTTTTGAAACACCTACAAGTTTTCGGACCTTTCACCATGCGGTTCTGTCACCTTCCTTCCCAGCGTGGCAATTGAGTCTAACTGAAAACCAAGTTCGAAGTGTGTGTGTAACCCTTGGAATCAAAGGGAACCTTTTAGGTTTGGAGCAGGGGGCCACCGGGGCCCCAGAGGAACGGTGGCCAACGAAGACCTCCTCTGGGGTCCGTGCAAACGTACCTGCCAAACTGGTTACCTGTTGTTCTCGCTGTGGTTTGCTCCTTAGTTTGCACACATACACGCACGCGTACTCTACTTACATCGAGGTTCAGGTGGCCCAGGTTCGTTACAATGAGGTTTGGTTCATCGGTTGTCCCTCTTCACTTGGTTCTTCTTCATCGGCAACCACACACACCTTTGTCTGTCTCGTCCTTTTCATTTTCATCTGTCCCTTTTGCGTGCACATGTGCCTTGCCTCCTTTCCGGGCAGGATGGAGGCCACACATGCCTCCCTTCGGGGAGGCGTGTGTGTGTAACCCTTGGAATCAAAGGGAACCTTTAGGTTTGGAGCAGGGGGCCACCGGGGCCCCAGAGGAGCGGTGGCCAACGAAGACCTCCTCTGGGGTCCGTGCAAACGTACCTGCCAAACTGTTTACCTGTTGTTCTCGCTGTGGTTTGCTTTCATGGTGGTTCATGTGGTTCTGTTACTAATCGCTACTCGCGTTTCGTGTTTTGAGTCTTGCTGGCCTCCAACCTGGCAGTGCTTTGAGTCTTGCTGGCCTCCAACCTTGCAGTAAGGGCCTCCACTTACTGACACCTGTCCTGGTTCCTTAGGTTTTCACTCAGGCCCGCGTGTGGCACCGCTGTCGAGTCAGTATGCATCCATAAGTGTGTCAACCCCCATGTCCAGGGGCGCCACCTCTCTCTAGCTACTATCACTATTCTTGCTTTACCTCATGTCCAGATACGCAGGGGAACTGGGCAGTCTGTGAGTGACCCACTTCAAGCTAGGTCACAGAGTGGGATATTCGGACTGATCATCCGAACTACCTGCGTCGAACTCAATTTTTTAAGTTGTTTCATTTTTCATTCATGTTATACAATACAATTCCTTGGACCTTTGACTTGCTGTTCACCAAGTCAAGGCCTACCTAACTTGCAGTAAAAATTATCCCGGCCAGAGACTCCAAACAGTGTGTGTGAGGTCCATAAGCAGAACGTCTAGTGTGAGTGAGAGTGGGAGAGTGAGTGAGTGTGAGTGCAAGTGCGAGTGCGAGTGAGAGTGAGAGTGAGAGTGAGTGTGTGGGTGAGAGTGAGAGTGAGAGTGAGAGTGCAGAGTGAGTGGGAGTAGTGGGAGTGGGAGAGTGAGTGAGTGTGAGTGCAAGTGTGAGTGAGGAGCGAGTGTGAGTGAGAGTGCGCGTGGATGAGAGTGAGTGTGAGTGAGAGCCCTGGACAATCCAATGGTGTCCTTTGTGCATCGTTTTGGGCTTTTGCATCGCGCAGTGCCTTTTGTAGGCAAACCATGCCGTTTGGAAAAGGCCTTGTTTAGTCTTGCGTTGGGAAACCTCCAGCTACCATCCACAAGGTCATTGCCACTGCAGCAGTGCAGCTTTGCACTTTATAGTAGTGGGAGTGGCAGCTGCAGGCCAGCTTTGAACTAAATAGTGGGAGTGGCCACTGCAAGCAGCACCGCAGCTTTGAACTAAATAGCGGGAGTGAGTGTTGCAGCGCTACAACTTTACTAAAAAGGTGGGCCTGCGATATACCACGTGGGGAAAAATTGAAAAAAGATATGAACATACGTAGGTGGGGCTGATGGTTGTGAAAAAGCGCGTGTTGGGCCACCTGGTTTTCACACGTTCAAGTCTAAAGGGAGCTGCGATGCAATGTGTTTCTTGAATTTTTCAATGTGTGCATGGTTGTGTGCGCAACACGCTTCGCCTTCAAAGCCATTTGGCTTCACCCTCGCTCCACCTCACTCCCTTGAAGGCGCTGGGCTCAAACCCAAAGTTCATGGCCCCAAAGCTTTTTTTTCCTCCTTCACTTCGCCCAGGCGTGCATGCCAGGCTCTGCACGGGAGCGCAGTTCTCCTACAGGAGGCCGGTGCTTCACCGACCACTTGAAGAGTGTGTCAGTTAGAGGGATAGTTAGCAGAACTTTAGGGCGCCTACACTAAGGAGGAAAACTTGAGGTTGCACCACGCCCAACTACGCAGCCATTTTTTGTGGGTGTGTGACCGCAGAACCTAGCACCCTTTGCGCCCACAAAATGGCGTTGGTCAAGAGGTTGCACTCCGAAGCGAAACTCTGGAAGAGCTTGCGACGCTAGATGGTTTCAGGTTGGTCAATTGTTCTTTGTCTTTTAGTTTGGTGATGTTCAAGCTTCATGGCTGCTGTTGTTTCGTTCGGTGGCTGCAGCAAGGATCTGGGAAGATCTCGTGGACAGAGGAAGAGGTGAAGGAGCACGCCAAGGCTGTTAGAGCTTCCATGCCCGTGACCGTTGTCGACGTCATTCTTGGGGCTGAGTGGGCTGGAGGTGAGCTGATTCACTTGGAGTCAGATTTCTCCAGGCCTGGGGCAGAGGATTGTTGCGTGAACTACGTCTGGGTCAAACCATTTGTCGAGAAATTCACATCGACTGTGCCTTCAGCTTTCTACTTGTGGGGATATATTTGTGGAACTCGATTCCTTGCTGAACAAGAAGCTGCTCTTGCCAAAGGACCCTAACCAAAGCAAGCAGACATGAGGGGTAAAAGATGAAGTCCTTAATCGGGGGACTGCGCTACCTATGGCGTAGCAGTGTCTGGCACTGATAGTGTCAAGGTTTTTGTTTGGTGTGCTTCCTGTTTGTGCTTCCTTAAGTGCTGGTTAGTTGCAACATGCTGTGCTTGGCAGCTTCTAAGGCATGACCGGCAACCATCCCCGCGTCACCGAGCTCAAGTCCTACTTGACCGAGTCCGCAGGACTATTTGTTGCGAGGGCTCTTGCGTTTGCAGTTCAAAGCTAGTGTTTACGGCTCGACCTTTCAACTGTATAGTAGTAGCTACTTGCAAGAGTTTTGCACAATTATTGACTTTTCAGAATGCAGGACCGGCGTCGTTCCTGCAGCCCTGCCGGTTCAGAAAAGCCTGATCAAGACCGTGGATGCGACCTGAAGGATGATAGTCAGGATGCAGCTCCCATCGCTGACATCGATCAGGAGGGAGAAGACAGCTCGGCTTCTGAGGAAGAGCGTCAAAAACTCCTTCGTGCAAACACCCTCATTTTGGGGGGAGGATGACAATGCTGAGTTTGCCTCAGGCTCAGAATCAGAGGATGACCGGCTTCCAGATCTTGTGTGTCCAGACCCAGTTCAAGATGATGACATGGGTCAAACGCTGGGTGCAGATATGGATCAGGGCGAGGATTCTGAGATGGAGGTTGATGGTGAAGAGTGTACATCTGCGACTCCCTCTTCAAGCCAGCCTGACCCTGAGCAAGACCACATCTTTGAAACGTCGCTGGCCTCCAGGAAGGGGCCGAGCCCTGAAGTTGTGGACATGCGCATTGGGCTGATGACCTGCCTGAGCAAGAGCGTGCCACGCATCGTAAAGTATCATGGTGCCTGATCAGTCCCACCAACTTTTTCTGTCGTGGCTTGATGTGGTGGCGGGGGTTAGGCGAAGTTGGGGATGTGAGTTCTTTTGCGCTGGCCCACTGAGGCATTGGCATTTGCCCAATTACCTTAACCACTCTG